ATCCACTGGCTCAGATCCCATGGATATTATAACAAGGCTCCATTGTGGAGTACAGGAAGCCAGGCAGCTAATGGTTCCATCAAATGAAACCCTTCGAAACAAAATTCTTTTTTTTTTTGAGACATGAAAATCGTTTAGAGCTAAGGGATCATAATCATAAGCCTTGGTCATTTTTCTAAATTTCCATTTCCTGAAATGATGTTCTTTATTGTATGTTTCATAGCTGCACAGATATTTCACATTAAGGTTTTAGCTTTCTTAGACATTGCCTGATGTGGTCTTAAACTTTTTTGATTATGAAAAATTTCATTATTAATACTATCTTTACAAATGATTGACATCATTTTGCTATGGAAATAGACAAGAAATATAACAAGAATTCATAAAAGTTGAAATAAACTCTTGTGTGGTAGGCTGAGAAATTTGAGATTAAAAAGAGTGTAAGTGAGAATAACTGTGTGGTAATCAAATATACAAAGAATGCCATCATTTACAGATGACTACAATAACCAGTCTTTCAAGTGATTTTACAACAGGCACTTTGATTTCATGAAGAAGTTTTATAAGCAGTTCTAAAGAATTAAATATTTTGAGTGTGTTTTATTATAGGAAAATAATAACATGACAAAGTCCTATTGCAGAAAAATAGTATGGGAATACTCTTTTTTAAAATTAATGTTTTGAATAGAAAGATCATAAGAATAAAAACAAAGCCTTATGTGAATGTAAAAGCAGTGCCAAACTTAAAACCGTGTAAAAATAAAATGCATAGTAGGAGCATAGTAAGAATTCTCATTAATTTCCAACACTATTTTATAAAGTTTTTTGGGGGGCGTGAGGTACTGGGGGTTGAACTTGGGGGCAGGCACTCGGCCACTCAGCCCACACATCCCCAGCCCTATTTTGTATTTTATTTAGAGACAGGGTTTCACTGATTTGCTTTGCACCTCACTGTTGCTAAGGCTAGCTTTGTACTTGGGATTCTCCTGTCTCAGCCTCCTTAGCCTCTGGGATTACAGGTATGTGCCTCACCTGGCTACAATTTATAAAGTTTTAAATGATTCATCTAAAATTCAAATATCATCTATTCTTTACATTGTACCTTTCTTCCATGAATAAATCCCTTACTGCAACTGGTACTTTTCATGGTTCATGGCCTGTATCTATATATATTTTTAGCTCTTCCATATTATTTTATATGCATTGAATATATAAGACAAATTATCTGATAAAACAATTTCTAACATGTATCTCAAAAAGTTTAAAAAATAAACCAGTCAAATAACTTTTCCTTTTCCTATAGAATGGTTCATTGTCAGATGATCTATATCCATCAATCTACAGTTAGGGAAAGCTTTATATAAAGCAAGAGTGTACATCAGATACATGATTGGTTACTAATAATTAACTGCTAACTAATAATTAATTGGTAGCCCGCCAAATGCCAAGTACTCTTTCAAATGCTTTCATATGTTTTAACAATGATATAAACATCTTAAGAAAAAACATGTTATCAGTAATGAATACCTTCTATTCTACAAAAGCCAGTAGTTTACTTCTGGACTATAATCTTGGTCAAAATTGTGATTTGAGGAGTGACTATAGACCTATTTCAACAGTGATATCATTGTGCAAAATTTTGAAACACCTTTTAGTTTTACTAAAGGCTTGTGGCACATGTTTATGCACATTCTCAGTAATGGAAAAATCTTAGCCTAAAATTTTTAGATTCTTGAAAGAATTAAAAAAAATCTTATTTTGGGAAAGGGGATGATAAAATTGGGTAATGATGGTAGAATCTAACTACAAAATAATATGCTTGATTTCTTCATGTACGTACTTTAGCAATTCTTCTAAAGTCAAATTTAAAAGTCCCCAAAATGTCTTAAGCTTTCCAAGTCATTATGTACCTATCCTATGATCCCTAAATGTATGTTTTATTTTAAGCATTTTGAAATAAAAGCAAGTCAAAACTGACTCAGAGTAAAATGTCAACAGATATTCCTTTAAATCTTATATATTTAAAGTTGAAAGGGGTTTGTATGACTTTATAGTACTAAATTTTACATTTCATAGATAAAATTAATTCTGTGTAAGACATGGTATTGCCAATATGACTTAGCAAATTAGAGCCTGAGCAAGGAATAGAGTCAAGTCTCCTATCTTCTACTTGGTACTCTTTCCACTACCATGTTACCCTTATCTGTAGTTTAATCAATTTTAGAGGGGAATAATGGTTTCACTCTTTCAAAACAATGTAGCAACTATATTCTAATCTAATGTTTGATATTTATTACTTACTGAACAACTAAGAAAAATACATAATATTAGGAATCTAGTATTGGGATCTAATATATCCCAATATCTAGAGATAAATTCTTTAACTGATAAACTGTCAATTTAAATTTCTCTTAACTATTTTTAGGGTTGCAATAACCAATGCTATAGAAGGAGATAAGCTGTATTAAATAAAAATGCTATAAAAATGAAAGCAAAATATATGTATATGTAATAATTTCTCTAAATGAATGTTAAAAAATATCTGACTACTAGTAATTCTGACTTGATAAACATGCTATATGAACTACTTGCACAGCTCATAAAATTTCAGTTTCGTCTGGGAATGTAGAAGGCTTGAGTACCATATGCAAGGCCCTGGGTTCTATCACTAGGAGCAAACAAAACAATTCAAGTCACTCACAAGAAGTCCAAATTGCCCACTGAATAACAGATGTTTCTTAGAAAAAGATTAGTGTATGTATTTTTGGAATGAAGTCAGAAATGGCCACACCACCCAGCCTCTCTGCCTTTTGTGGTACTGAGGATTGAACCCAGGGGCACTCTACCACTAAGCTTCATCCTGAGTCCCACACCCAGACCCCAGCCACTTTTTTGAGACACGTGTCACTAAGTTGCGAAGGCTGGCCTCAAACTTGCGATTCGTTTGCCTTCACCTCCTAAATAACTTGGATTACGGGCATGCACCATCACGCCTGTTTAGAAGAGCATCTTTTATAACCATTTTTGATCAGATGTATAATTTCATTCACTAAAGCATAAACACACTCAAAATTTACAGAAAGGATTCATGTCCTTTAAGGAAACATATTTCAGCTGTAGTACATATATGGGTTTGCTTATTAAATTTATACATCAATTTTTCTATCTTTATAAAAGTTGTATAATTTAAGTTATATTATAAAATACCACTTTCTTCCCCTCTAGAGCTGGGGATCAATGTAATGATGATGAAGTTAAATAATTAAGAATTGAATATGTGGAATATTTCATTTGGCTTTTTTTTT